TTTCTCTTTTTTCCTGTTTCCTCTTCTGTTTTTCTGCTCTATTTACATTGCAGTGTCCATATAAACTGTAAAACTCCCTGCATAATTATAATAAAGCAATTTATATGCATGAAACAAGTGGAGCAATATGGCAATTGCCGTACTGCTACACTTGTGAAAGTAAAATCTGTTGGGCTTTTTTTGGCAACAAGAGAACTATTCTTATTGCCACATTGCCAGACAGGACACTGTAAAAAAAAAAAAAAAAAAAAGAAAAAAAAAGGATAAAAAGGTTGACATTGGGTAACACTTTGTTGACACACCAAAAAGGTCTCTCTTTAAAACGGAAACATCGTTACCCGACATTCTTGCAGGGTTTTAAGTTGGGATCTGGTGTCTAGCTCTAGTGTTCACTGGGTGAGAAGCTGGGTTCACCATAGAAACTTCGCCGGTCCTTCAATGCACAGCACAGAGACAGAGAGGACAGCCAGCCATGCAAAAAGTTACTCGACCTTAAAGGCAGTACAGAATCCAAAATAACCTGGCAGTCAGGTTTTCTGATGGTTGGAGGACACCGGCGTGGTTAGAAGGAACTTAAATGAGAACATCATTACCAGCAAATGCAATATAATTCATGTTTTTATATGATTAGAATTTGCATGGCTGAAATATCTTCAACATATTTATAACTCATATGCTCCTGAATGTTGCCAGAATGTGTATTCATTGAAAAAAACATCTTTTTCACCTAAATGTTTGCCATTAAAGGTCGATGTGGCTTGCCATAGCATTTTAAATCCCAGGGTGGAGAACTGTTTTGGTAGATCTCTAAGCTAGTGTTCCTACACATTTTTGCTCATAACTGGAAAAAATGTTATGAACTCATGTAAGAGCAGCTTTAGCATCATCACTTTCCTTGTTTTCCATCTTTAATGCTCTAATGCCTTCATTTGGTGCTAAACATTTACCCAGCTGCCCTATGCTTGCTCTTCTATATACATATTTTACAACTTCTGGCATGGAAACCATTAATTATTAACTTTAAGTCGGAACACACAACACAATGATAAAAAAGTATAATACATGTCATTCAAAATTAGAACTACTAGCAAACATTGTTAGATCTTCTGAGTTTCACCAACGATTATTTCTAAATAGAATTATTCTGAACAGAAGCCTCATGTTCATGGCAAAAGGAGTGAAGTCATTTTATTTCTTTTTAATATGTATCTACAACAAGGGGGACACAGGCAAAAAACGACTGACAAGTTGATGGAAATTAATACAATAAAATAAAGTACATTAATCTTCATCAATGTAGATTTCCAACTTTTTTTTCCCAATAAGCAACTTTTTTTTTGTCTAAATTAACTTTACAATATAAAGAAACATACAAAGGAACCTCATTTTTATTTTTTTTTAAACTACACAAGACATTTAGGATCTGAAACTACCCTAACATGATATACAAAGCAACTTCCTGCCTCATATTCAATACTGCTTTGTCATCAGGAGGAAATGAGGAACCAAACAGAAAAGAAAAAAAAAATAAAATAAAATCTTTACTCCCAATTCTGCCCCAAAGTCCTCTCTTAACCCTCCCTATCCCTTAATGTTACAGTATTATACATCAGCACAATAGAAATACAGTAATGATCGACATTGTGACGGCTTTACTTACAGGACAGAAAGAAGTCGGGCTGCATTTTATACAACAGTATTAAAGTACATGGGAGAAAATGCACCTTCCTGCACTTTGTCTACGTCATCTTAGCAACAAATATATCCGTCTGGCTTTTTTTTTCTTCCTCTTACTTCTGCAAACATTTCTCTTGCCTGATTTTAAATAGATTAGAAAATCCTTCATAGTAAAGTATGTACTCTGATTCTGGTGTGTTGGACAGAGAGCCAGTGTCCTGTGTGCCCTCTGTTTTAGTCGTGTCAGAAGAAGCTGAGCTGCAGTGCATCGAAAACCAAGTGCCTTTTTTTTTTTTTTTTTGCACTCAAGTCTTTGAAAATCCTGCCAAAAATTCCAAAAATAATCTTATTTTGTATTTTTCTTTGTCCCCAAGAATGCACCATGTTTAAAGCAAGGTGCTGATAAATCATTGCAGAACTACAGGAATATATTCCTCCTCAGCCCTGCTCATTTGTAGCATACAGCCCCCCCACATCTATGGGTTGTGAGGTGAAATAGCATAATAGTCTATAGCAGCTCCGGTTTTTGTAAGTTTCATATCATTTCTGGTTAAAGGTACACAGTTTGCCTGATTCAGCACGCTACTGATCAGCTGTTCAGTTGTGATTTGAAATATCAAAACATGTCAATGATATCAAAATGCATTTTACAGTATTTACAAAAAAAAGGAACAAATAAAAAAAAACATGGTGTACAAAAAAAAATAAAAGGGGGTGAGGGGGGAGTGTTGGTATAAGAATGCCAGCCTGATGGAAAGACATGGAAAAAAGAAAGCATGGAGGAGGAGTGATATCGGTCTTTACATTGAATGAAGTAAAGATTTGCAGCTTCCAAACCTATTTTGACCTTCAATCTAAACAGCGTCAAAGCAAACTTTAAAACAGCGCAGACAGAAAACAAAAAAAATATCACAAATAAAGCACATGGAGTGAAAACTATAGTGGGTGGAGGGAGTGGACAGCACCATTCGGGCTCAGATGGAGGACTCTGCCAATTGCATCTGCAGATTTATACCGTCGCTACTTACTCTGCAGCTAACAAAGAAAACAAAATCAGGAAAAGCACTTTAAAAGGTGTAGGATTTTTATACACAAATTAAAACATAAATAAATAGAGGTGTGCATTTTCATTTTTTTTAACTGCAGGAAAGCTATGAGACAAGGAGCCACAGCTGCTGCTGGTGAGCAGGAACTTTAAAAAAAGTCCAGATGTTTTAAAAATGCCCGATTGTAACATGGATAAAACCCCACCAGCAGGGGGCAGTGTGTCTACAGGAAGCAACATGTTGCACAGCAAACTACAGGGGCATCTCACTAAATCTGAATATCATCAAAAAGTTTATTTCAGAGTTTTAATCCAAAAAGTCAAACTTGTTGATACAGATTAAATAAAACAGATATCTGTTTATTTTGGCTCATTTTGATTATTTGGCCAACAGCTAATGAAAATCTAAAATTCAGCTCCTTGTAAATTCAGACAAAAAATATAGTTATTAAAGTTTATGGAGATTTATGCAAATTTATGGAGGAGACATCTGACTTCACAATGATCCACGCTCGTCTTTTAGCATTTGAATGGAAAGTTGAGTAGAAAAAGTTCTTGCTTCCAGAGGAATCCTCTGAAGCTAGGCAACGTTTGAAGCTCTTACACAGGCTAACAAAAAGGACTCTGCTATTGGTGGCAAAACAACTAAGCTTGATTGGCTGGTAGATGGGTATGACCAACATCCCAGCAGAGAATAGATTGATGCAGAGTTTAAAGCTATAGTCTGTAACTTTTCTTAATGGATGAGAGATATATCCAACTGCACCTTCCCCCCTGCCTCTCCTCCTGCAGGAGATGACTCATGCCTCAAACACCTGTAAACAGCGTGAATAAATAGTATTGACAGAAAAACTACAAACATAAAACCAATGTGCTGGAAGGTTGAATCCTACGCTAATCTTTTAGCCTATTACATCCAATTTAAAATAATTCTACTTTTGTTCACCTCCTTGCTTTTCCTAAGTTGATCTGTAGTTCAGACTATAGACTATAATGTGGGTCTGGATGGTGCCATACAGGCCCAACTGCTGTGAAATTAAAGTTTAGAATAGTAGAGAAATTAGCTTTATTGTTATTACACTGTCACAAGTACAAAACAACAAAATGAACTCTCTGCATTTAACCCATCCCCTTGGGAGAGAAGTGGACTGCCATTGTGCGGCACTCAGGGAGCAGGGTGGGGTAAGGGTCTTTGCTCAGGGACACTAAGTGGCAGTCCGGGGTAGTGGGGCTTGAACTTATAACCTCTGGAAGACAAGCTCAATGCCCTAACCACAACCACCACTCCCCCCAGAAATAACTAAAGCTAAAGTTTGGACTGAGTATTGAACTCTTTAGCTTAGCGGATTCAGGGTCTTCCTCAAGTTTAATCAGTGCAGCTGTGCCAACCGACTCCGGCGCAGATCCCTTTCCTTACACACTGATTTGATCCAAACACATCAAATTGTAGCTCATAGCTCCTGTTCATAACTCCTACTCCTTCACACTGTCAAGTATAGTAAAGGAACTCCAGACTCCCAAGCCTTAGTTATTACACAACAGAAATGCACCTTGACGATTCTAGTCAAATTGGTGGTCTAAACGTGCACATCATGTCATGCAAAGGATCGTGGGATTCTTATTGCTCCTTAGGAACCTGTGTGGCCCCTACGCCAAAGGAACTATGATAGGAGGAATTCAGGCTCCTTTTCTCACCACCTGTACTATTTATGATCATGGCCACCACTGATGCACTCTACTCTGGCTAAGAAGTGTGTACCGATGTGCTGTATTCAGATCAAGCCTCCCTCCAGACGAATGTGCAAGTCTATTGCTCAAACTTAAAGGCCAACGTCTCCAATTTATATTGCCGTTTGTCCAGGGGAGGGGCTAAAGTTATCATAATCACAGATTATCCACTTTAAATTTCAACATTTCCTAAATGCTACAACTTTAAAAAGAGCCCCATCTAAGTATGAAAATAAACCATCCAGTGCATGGAAACACTTTCCAGTCTCTGCTTGTCTAATTTAATAATCAGATAAAGTTGGAGACTAAATTCTGCATTTTCATTAGCTGTAAACTACAATCATTAGGATAAATAAACACCTAGATTATTTAGCTCTGGTTATGCAAGCTAGAATTTAACATTTTTAATTGTATTTCTGATATGAACTTTTCAACCATATTCTGATTCCGAGAGGATTCTGTATGTGTGACTTGTGTGCAAATGTGATGTCTTTATCATAACAGTGTGCCCCTAAAAACAAAGGATGTTAATCTTTAAATGATAATAATAATTATAATAATACAACAAAAGTAGCAATGACACATTACATACACAAAAAATTGGAAAACATGTTCACTGATCATCACAACAACTCTGTTACAAATGTACATGTACAGAAAAACGATGTGGAAGGACAACGAAGGTCCTCCGTGGAATCTGGGAGCAAAAAGAAAAAAAATAAATGTTTTACAAAAAAAAAAAAAGAAATTATAATCCAACGCTGTGGTTGATGTTCCTATTAGCTGCAAAAGAGATACTGCGTCCATGATGGAGGGCGGCGCTCTCCGTTCACCTCCGTCCCTCGCTCATTGTCTAGACCCCGTCAGAAAGCCGGGGAGGCTGGGGCCGGAGTCTGAAAGGAGGCTCTTCCTGCTGCCCTGTGACTGCTTCCTATTCACACCTGCGGCCATTTTACACGATCCAGGAGGGCCCGTCTTAATTAGAGTCCCAGCATGCTCGAGGGCGCTCCCGGAAGGCTGAGTGGCCGCAAAAGTTCCCGACGAAGAGGAGGAAGGACGGTGGATAGGTTGGGTGGTGGAAGGAGGACGGCGTTAGGGTGGGCAAAGGGTGTGTGACGTGGGGGGAGGCGGGTTAATCCAAGGACAAGTTAGGATTGAATAAAAAAAAAAAAGGTGTAGAGTCGAAAAAATTGGGGGGAGAAAGATTAAAAAAAAAAAAAAAAAAGAAAATCACACACTCATCGTCATGTTGGGTGAATACTGAAAAGAGAGAGAGGGGAAGGGGGAGGAGGGGGGGCACAAATGAGTGGATATGTCACTAACCACAATTAAACACAAGAGGGCGCTCAGACCCAGCCCTGCAGGGGTAGAGGAAGCACAGACTGTCCGCTCTGTTGTCATCAACAAACAGGAGAGGCCAAGCTGCTTTCATCCAGTTCCTACAGCGACTGCCTCTGATCCGGGTTTGAAAACATCTTCTGTCTCTGCTTTTCATATTGGTCTAGTTTTACATTTTAAAACACTGAAAATTAACACTAGTCTGGACATTTATGAAGTTGTTGAATCATTTGGATTTTAAGTTTTTTGTTCCACAGATCAAGAGGTCAGCCTCTGATTGGACAGCATGATTAACAGGCACCTGTCTGACATCTACACCTATTCAGATTAACTCAAACAATTTTCAAATTGGGAATAAACTAAATTCAAAATACTGTATTACTATGGCATCCATTTATGCCCAATACTTCTATTCTTTTTCAAAAACTCGATCCTGTTAGAGAAGCACCACGTTTTAAATCACTGGCTGTTATCTTTTATTTCTGGTGCATAGTTTGTTTGTTAACCTTAGATCCTAACGAAGAAGGATGTTTAAATAAGGAACAGTATGGAAATTTTTCTTTTTCCAGGAAATGTTTTTAGACTTGGGGAAAAATACTAACTAGAGAGCAGAGGACATATTGATCACTGCTTATATATTTGCATGTAAGCAGCTCTGTAACCAGCAGCCTGTGCACCTCGTAGCTCTGCAGGTAGAGGCCAGGAGAGCATCACAAATTTACAATGCAGGGAACAGACCCCCCCCTCCCATCCCCCGTTACATCATTATAACAAGACCCAACATACTTTAGCGTTTCCTTTAGTGTTTAACAGCTATGATCACATCACTGATACAGAGGGTACGGAGTGAAGTTCTACCAGATTAGTAAGCGGCTCCAATGCAAGCAGAACACAAGCTGCTAGTGACCAAAACATTCTTTATGCTTTTTAGAACAAATTTACAGTGCTGTGTCCCAACATTAAAAGTATGGAATCATACCGAAAAAAAGATATTATGCTTTAAGACTATTTGACTTTAAAGTAAATGTTCTCCACTCATGAACCTGGATGAAAGATGAATTATTGCATGCCCCTGTAGTTCACCAATGATGATGTCACCGCATTTGCACCAGTTTTAGCTGGAATATTTTTTTCTTTTTGAAAAGGACAGCATTTTCGCTTTTGTGGATGGGAAGATGGTTAAGCGTCTCCCCCGACTGGACTTGATAAGACTGATTTATCTGTTAACTTCGCTAGTTGTGAAACAAATCAAGCTTCTCTTGCTGCTATGATTAGCTAAAGCCAGGCTTACACTGTGCAAATGTTTGCCTTTTTCGGGGGGATTTTCCAGTCGCACAAGAATTTTTCAATTGGGCTGACTTTCAGCCTGATCGTGCGTCGTGTAATGTACAGGGGGTAACGAGGGGCGATCAGCCTCTCAAGACCACCTCCCGATCAGGAATCGTGAGGTCAGGAGAAAATCAAACATGTTGGATTTTCCCGACAAGGTTTCTTCTCTTTCTTCTTCCTCTCAGATGTAAACACAGAAGCATGGCGGGTTTACAGGTGAAATGGAATTCTTTCTGTAAAATTGACAGACCGTAGTAGCCACGTTTGCTCCGCCATATCTATGTCAGAATACGTCGCCGCCTTTGCTTTTAAGGACTTTCAGCACAAAATCGCACAAATAGCCAAGGCAGCACGTTACACTAGTGAGCTTCATATTCCTCCGCTACTCATTTGGCTTCCGGATAGACGAGTCAGAGTAGCTCCATCTCACTGCGGAGCTGAGTCTGACGTATTTTAGACATCGGGCTGAGCATGCATCGTGAGCTGTGAACTCTCACTGTATGATGAAACCGCAGGGTTTCATCATAGAGTGTGAGCTGTACCTGCGTGCAACGATTGAAAAAAAAAAAAAAAATCACACAGTTTATACCCCACTTAAAGAGACGACATGGGAGGCAGGTACCAAATCAGTTCGAATTGTTTTGAATGTCACTACCTTTTGCAAACGTATCTACATTTCTATTGTACCAAAAACTGTAGCTTGGCTATTTGGGATTTGAAGGCAAGTATAAAGATTTATTAATCCATTTATAAATTGTTGAGTCTAAAGTGGAGAAAACAAAAACTAGCTACACTTTCTAAAGTGGTCATAGGACTCCTTATTCGGTTTAGATCTTCTTCATCGATGGCACGAGTGTTCATTTTTGGCTTTTAATAAACTATTTCAGCTTTTCTTTAAAGAGGAACAACTAAAATGGTTTTAAAAGCTGAAATTATGCAGATATGTCTGATTTCATTTATCCATGAAAACCTGCAGAGAACTGTAAGCAAGGATTAAAAGGAAACAAATCAGCTTTTGACTCACAATCACAAAAAATGTTTCAAGTAAAAAAACAAACAAAAACAAACAAACAAACCGCTACCAAATTTCAAGTATGGTGTTTACAACATTATGCTGAGGGCCTGTCAGGGTTCCAGGTGCATTAAACAAAGTGGCTGAAATAATGAAGACTGCTTCCTAAACTTTCTAAAGACGCACTAAAAGCTCTTAGAACTTAAAAAACTGGTTCATTCCAAGTTTCTAAAGTAAAGTTAACCTTTGCTCTAATGTACACTGGTGCACTATGCTTAAAGGGGGAGCATGTTCCGAGAAAACCTCCAATCTAGATAAGCTATAGCATCACAGATAAGCATGGGAAAAATACCCAACCAGAGTTATGACAGGAGATTCTTACTGCCTATGAGATTTGGTGAGGTTTCTCTGAAACATGCTAAAGGAGATTTACTTAAAAAGAAGATTAGAAAATGTAAGTTTATAAAAATATTTCTTTTTCACCAAAGCTGCTGTATAACCATCCAACTATTTAAAGTGGAGTATAAACCAATCATTAAAAGCCAGAAATGAAATCATACCAACAAATTCTTTTGACCTTCTTTGTTTAAAATCGTTTGTCCAAATCAGCTTCAGCTCACATCCAGTTTAGTTTGCGTTGTTGAGGCTACTGAAGCAGGTTTACCTGGGCCAAGCTGATTAAGATAAGCTTCATCAAACAACATATCAAAAAAGGGGAAATAAAGTTGACACAACGCCCATGTCTAAAAAAAATAAAAAAAATCTAAATTTTGCCCTTAATTTAAATACTGGGGAATCATAAAAACCAGACGGATCCATATAAAATAGAAAACTATAAATTGGGACAAAAAAGCACTTCCCTCCCATAAATTCCACTTATTCGAACCCTCTGCTTGCATTCTTCCACTGGTTTACATCAGGATAAACTGTTAAGGGCAGGAGATGTTGTCAACACAGTCCACTCACACTTTCGCTTTGGAATGGGTTCAAGAAGTTGCCGCCCATCTCGCCGTCATCCCGCGGCGTTCCTGGAGGATTGTTCATGCCTCCCATGTTGTTAGGAGAGCTCTGGTGGGAAAGAGAGAGGCCCCAAAGGCAGTCAGATGAGTGTAACACAGAGGAAGTAGTTCAGAAAGATGTTTGCAGAATTTGACGTTCATTCACCTTTGGCAACCCATCCATATCCCCAGACCCTGAGGATGTAAAACACACATTAGGGTATAATCTAAGAGAAAAAACAATCAGTCATTTGAGTCACTAATTCCCAGTGTTTCAACCCACCTAGTGATCCATTCATGTGATGCGGCTCCATGGCTCCCATGGCTCCCATTGGCCCATCGGGCCCTGGTCCCATTGGGAACTGATGAGAAGACGTGGAACAGGAATTATAAATTACTGCCATTATTTTTCCCTCCTTGGACTTAATCTTATTCTGTAATCTGAGTTGAATGTTTTCCTCCTAGGGATTTATTTTAGTTCAGCTGTAATATTATAGTAATAGAAACTCTTTGCAAAGTTGAAGAAGGAAAACTGAACACTTACATTGGGTCTGTTTCCTCCAGGTCCGATAGGATTCATCATTGTGTAGATGTTTTCACTGGAGTTAGTCGAATCTTAGGAGGTAAAAAAAAGAAAATAATATTAAAAACAGATCGTTCACAGCTGTTAAAAGATTCTATCGGGTGTTGGACAGGAGATCAAAACAAGAACGAAGGAATAACAGCAATGTTGCTGTTTAGTTAGGAAATAAATGAGAGACAGGGGGGGGGCATAGAAGGCTGACGCACCACCTGGGCTGGGCATGATGGGAGTTCCAGGCGGTCCCCCTCCACCCGCTGGACCCTGGGAAACAAATATATGGGTTTAAAAACAACCGAGTTTGTGGACTTTTCATAATAAACTGCACCTAATTTACTTCACTCACCACATAGTTTCCTGGTGATGAGGAAGAGTAGGCTATCTGCAGAGGAAACAGCAGTCAGAACCAACAGATGAGGGATACGCATCATATACAAACACACAATGTTTAAAAATCTAGCCTCTGTGCTGTGTGTTTCCCTGATACCCATAAATTTAATTTTACAAAGTTAAAACATTCGTTTGGGTCTCTTAAAAAAAAAGTAATACAATGCTAACCTCAACCTAAACTCATCATTCCTATAATGAAGATGGATGGAGTTAAATACTGAGCAATAATGGAGAGTTAAACTAGAATGGGCATAAAAAATGGGATGAAAGCTAAACATACACCCAGAGTTACAATGAGTTGGTTTAAATCAAAGCATATATTCATGAGTAAGAATGGCCTAGTCAAAGACCAGAACTAAATCTAATTCAGTTCCGGTCTGTGACAGGTTGTGTTTTTTGTTTTGTTTTATTTCTCCAATCTGACTGAATTTGAGCAAATTAAAGATGAATGGGGAGAAATTTACATCTCAGTTCTGCCAAGTTTTGATATAAGACTGAATACAAATACACACATCTATGTCACATTTATTCACAATTTAATGTTAATCTATTATGCAAAATCCTCAAAAATACTTAGAAATTCTCGTTCTGACTTGGCTTCAAACAAAACTGCATGAATTTGATGCATCTGCTTAGAAACTACCATATGAATAAATTCAAAGCAGAGCCGACATGTTGAGATTCTGACTCACTGAGTTTGCATTAGGTCCTGGCCATGGCCCCCTTCCTCCGGGACCCCTAAGGAAAAGATTGTATAAGAAAAACAAGAATAAGACAAAGCACTGAAAGTTTTAGGAGCATGTTTTCTGTTACCGTGTTTCAATTCATTAAAAAAAATAAAAAAAAATAAACTAAAGCAGCCTTTTTTCAGCCACCTGATCTGCAGTATGCAGCAACAGGTGGAGGAGGGGAAGACATGCTTTTCGGTTGCAGATCAAAATTAACTCAAAGTATTGTGGAAACAGGGTAATAAAGTGACAGAAGAGGAACGGAGCTACATAATTTGCTTAAGGTATTTCTCTGCACTTACATGTTCATTCCTGGCATGGGGCCACCCATGGAGTTGGGAGGGGGCCTCATGCCTCCATAATTCTAAGAGGAAAAAAGACAGAAAAAAATATGTCAAGAAATTCAAAATGCATTTGCAAGAAATATTTGAAAATGAAAGTTTTTCCTCATCCTTACCTGTGGGCCCATGGCCATTCCTCTGGGAGGATTCATTCTCATTGGACCACCCATGTTGGGATGTCCTAGCAAAAAAGAAACCCAACCAGTGTCAGAACTTGTACACAAAAGCTCATCTAATTACACATGCATCTCATCTCTTAAATGTTAGGAATAACATGAAATAACTACTAATATATGCTTATCTGATGCCAAATTTACCAAACCCTCTTTTTAAGTCAGGCATACCAGGCATTCAGTAAAAAAAAAAAACAACAACATTTCATGGGATTGTAACATCTAGATACTTCTAAAATGTCATTTTGTAAACCAATTTAACTGTATTTATTTGCGGCCTTTAAACCACAGAAAGGAAGTCGAATTTATAATTTCATTGAGTGTCTGAAACAAAATGACATCAGATCAAAACAGCTTACACACCTAAAATTACAAAAATATGTTTCTAAGATTAATATGAAAACAAAGAGACCAAAAAGATGGAGGTGTTGCCTTCTAAAATTCCAAAATATTTTCAAGCAGTAGATGTTGGGATTCTATATCCGAGAACATGGGTTTAATTTTTTTTAAGCAAACAAATGTTTTATAAAAAGTGTCTTAACAAGGTGTGGACCAGACAGACAACATCACATATTGTCAGCATAACAAGATAAAAAACTGATATTTTCCATCATTAAAATTGTTGATTTGAAATATTGAAGAGTGGTCCAAGGAGAAATCAAAGAGGAACACCTTGGGATGCATGAAGGAAGCCAGAGGGGATTCCTGCAGTTTTCGATCAGTATTCAACAATGTTAAAACATCAGGCTTACCTTGTGGTCTTGTTGGGTCCAAACTGTTTGGCAGGAGGGGCTGCGATCCTGGGATTCCACCAGGCTGAGAAGGGAGCAGACAGAAAAGTCGGTAAAACTCAGCAAGTAATAACACACGGAGCTGTTTAATGGAAATTTGATCCAAACTCTGATTACCTGATTTGGCATTCGGAGTGACGGGCGTGGCCCACCTGGATATCGTGGTGACATGAAAGGCTGTAGGGGGGGAAAAAAAAGCAAAGGTTAGGGGGTGGACACAGAGAAAATGACATTCCTATTATTGATAAATCCAAAAGTACTTCAACAGGGGAAGCACTGAGAACACAGAGATGGACACAGCGTGGTTGGAAAATGGATGACAACACTGGAAAACTGCTAATTCAGCAACACATCTGCCTTGAAACCAAAAAAAGCAAAAACAAAAAAATCACTTGCAAGAGTTGGTGTGGTCCAAACTTTAAAGGAGCACTACCCACAGGATGGACTGAAAGCTCGTTTGAGTGCAAGCGTGTGTCTTCCCTACTCTCGCTTTGCTGTAAGCTGACTCGGCCTTGTGGTCTGCCTGGCGTAGTCGGAGACACCTCGGGCCAGCGACGCGGTTCAAAAGGAAAAAAAAAAACCTTAGCGGAAGCGAGCTCGCGCTCTCTCGCACACAGAAAAAGAAACTGGAAACCACAAGAATGAAAAGCTGAGCTGCCGCAGTTAATGGGCAAAACCTAGCTTCATCTCCGCAGTGGCATCGCAGCTACTGTTCTGTATAGGAGCTGAAACGCCATGACTAAAGTTCTTCAGCCTGGGTCCACATGCTCAGAGTACCGTGCAGGAGCCAAACTTCCATCCTTGACATGTAGGAAACTGGTGCTCGTACATGTGAAGTGTTTATTTTGCTTGTCCCCCTGTTTAATTTATAAGATGCAGGAACAAGTGAGCGAGGGGGGGAGGGAGTGAGTGTGCAACTGTGTTTGTGTGTGTTCAGGCTGGAGAAGATAAGTGTGCAACCCCCCACAAGCTGCTCCGGGGGAGGGGCAGGGAGTGAATTATTCATCCTGCACGGGGGACAGCAGCTCCTCGGCCTTCCACAGGAACAGGCCTTGCTGCATCTTTTTATACAACAAGAGCTCACAACTGCAGGGGCTGCTTTAAATGGGGGGGTTAGCCTGAACAAAAGTAGTTCCTGAAGGGCTCAAGGTGGGGTGGGGATAAAGTGCAAAGGTTGCAAATGGGAAGAAAGAGGCAGGAGTGTATAGTTCAGGGTATGGGGGGGGGTTGAGAGAAAGTGTTTGCGTCTTACCTGACCGTGGGGTCCCATCATGGGGTTGCTGGGGTTGTGTGGGGGGGGCTGTGCATGGGGGGATTGCTGAGAGCCGGGCGGTGCCTTTAAGAAAGAAGAGCGATATCAGAGAGGGGAGGGGGCAGAATGTGGGTTCACACCTGGAGGAAGAACCCGATCAGAATCACAGGAGAGAGGAAAACCATGTTGGAGGGGAGTCTGGAGGGAGCATCTAAGTTTCGCGGAAAAAATGAAAGCGTGGCTGAATTTTGGGTCACATGATAACCCACCTAAAAACAGGTCACTCTCTTCTGTCTTTATTACCAAACAGAAAGACGGGAATCGTTTTCTCCCAGATGGCCTTCCAGTGACCCCCTAACACCCATAAGAGGCGATCATTTCCACCACCTGGTTATAAAAGCCAATCCTGTTTTACATTTACCCACATGGGGGCAGTGTTATCAAAGCTTACAACAACAAGAGGCAAAGGTACTAGCTCACAGAAGGAGAGGACACTGACAAAATAAAATAAAAAACAAAACAAAAAAAAAATGCTGAAGCATTTCTGTAAGCTTCTTCATGACCAAATCAAGTTCCAGTGCTAAAACTCAAACACACCCAGACATCACACTGTTGACTTCCCAAGCCCCGGACAAGAGGTCAAATATCTGATGAATACATCATTGCGCAACAGCCTCTTCAGAAGGTTCAATGTTTTACTTTTTTCCTCTTCCAGCTCTCCCTCGAAAACAAAGAGTGGCAGATTTACAAATAGCAAGTGGAATTTTCCACCTTTCCCTCCAAGGCATCCGGACACACACAAAGACAACACGTTGACTACCAGTGAGCGTCTGGGAGTGTGTGTGCGCCTCAAAATTAACATGCAAAAAAACCCCCCAAAAAAACTGCTGTAGTTGAGACTGTGCAACCTGTTGTGGAAAACAAGTCAACCCAACATCCATTTCTCAGACTGGTACAGGTATCAAAGGCAGCACCGTCTTGCTTCACAAGCAGCCACCAAATATTTTGTTGAGATTTCAAAAGACAAAAACCTGCAGATGATTGTTAAGGGAAAGAAAAAAAAATATTTTACAAACAAATCCCTGCATGATGCTTCCGCCACTCCCCAGCCCTTTCACAGCTGGAATGAGTTTTTTCAGCGTCATACAGAGTCTTGTTTTCTGACACCTCATGGCGTTTTGCATGCAGCCTCCAAAAGTTTTTGGTCATGTCGAACTGGTGCACCTTCTTCTCCTTCACTTTAATTATGGTCAGTTGGGATCAGTTTAGTTCGCTGATTGGGTAGCACAAATCTGGAACTATAATGTTCCCTTTAATGCATTTGAAACACCACAATATGAGCCTTGATAGAAATCCTGCAAATGACAGCAATACAAATCACTGATCATCTCCATATATGTAAACACAGCTAAAGATGTGATAAAAGATTGTTGTCACATTTAATAAGATGAAAAATACAGCGCTGCTTTACTACTACTGGGTCAGTATGAATATACTTTCCAAAAAGGTTGGTCTATAATGACTAGGGGTGTGGGAAATAATTGTTTTGGTGATATATCGCGATATTTGGCTGCCCAATATAATATCGATCTTTCACTTCTTAGTATCGATTTAAAAAAAAAAATGGTTACATAAAACATTGATGGGAAAATGGGCTACCTCTGCACCACCACTCTGGCAGAAAGCGCTGTGGAGCCCTTTAACTGTGCGTGCAGCACCAAATCTGTATCTGAGGCAGTCACAGTAGAAGAAAACCCCAAACAACATGGATAATAATACCTAATCAATATTTTCTGATGAAAATATACAGCACTTGCTGTTTTATCTCATCATTTGATTTTGATAGCTGGGGAAAATATGGCAATATATAGTGATACTGCAATATCGTGATAATATCGTATCGTGACCCAAGTATCGCGACATGTATCGAATCGCAACACTCATGCCAATACTCACCTCTAATTATGACATAAAGTAAAATAATAAATGTTATTATTAATGATCATGTCTGTATTGAGACTCTGGTTTTGTTTATCGTTTTCCATCATTTAGTTTTTTGGTGTCTTTTTGCCTGTCTTTTTTTTAAGTCAGGATGAATCTAATTGGCTTACTCTTCAGTGTCTACCAAAAAGTTACAACAGCAGATGTTTTTAACTGTGATATTGTTTTATAGATTTAAAAAAATATAACATGTATTTTTTCTTTTTGTGAAAAACTTATTGGCCTAGAAATTGCAGGGTTTCCCTTCATTTTGGCTCAAATGATATTTATATATAATGTAAATCTGTAAACTTTATAAACAATCCTCTTCTTATAGCAAAATAAACAAAATTGATATCCTTTTAAGACCTAAAATAAATCCACATAGTTGTAAAATGAAAAAAAAAAATTTGTTATTTTCAATAAAGTTTACTTTAAACTTTAAAAATCCCTGCAGAAAAAAAAGCAATTACGCAGCATGATGCTGCCACCCTTTATGAACAGGTCAGCTGAAATATGGTTAATGTGTCTCGTTACATTTCTGCCATAAAATACCACTTTTAGGTAGGTGTTCACCCACTTCATCTAATTTTTATGGATCCTTTCTATTAAAAAAAAAAAAAAAAAATGTGTTTTAACTGAAACTATGGTCCTGTTTAATGCCCTTAATCGCACTACTACAACTTAAAATAGACTGTTTACAAATACAAAAGGTAGGTGCAAATAACTGCTTTAAAGCTGAAAAACTCATTAAAAATACTTCCAACTTCCTATCCTGATTTTACAAAAAAAAGAAAAACAAGGTCAAAATAAACAAGCAATGACTGCTTTAAATTGTTTTAGGAAAAAAAAAGTAAAATCTATTAGCAGAGACCTCTTCTTGTGACCTATAAATAATGTTAATTACAGGAGATGGTGCCATTTCACATGATCATGCATTTAACAGAAATTAGAGATAGGCACTAAATAAACGGCGCCGAATGTGACTGCAATTAGAGATGCACCAATCTGGCTTTTCCAGCTGAAATCCCCTACTGCAATAAAAGGGTATTAAATGTATTCTATCAACACCAATTTCTGTTCTTCTCTCATGGTTAATATGACAAATCAGACATTATCAGATTCTTATAACTCTCTAAAAAAACCATAAAAAAGACAAAACTCAAGTTTGTTTTAATCATTAAATTAAATCTAACAAATGTTTTAAATTGGGTAATTTTAAGTACGACTTCCCTTGACCACTAACTTAGTTAGAAAACTCTGAAATACAGCCTTCACTGATCAGTGAACACACCATACTTTGTGTCACTAACTGAACCAGCACTTAGTGCAGTTGCAGTCATTGAGGGTAGAAGATGTAATACTGGCTTTCTTCTGTATCAGCAAAAACGTGAACAACTGAATTGTAGTTTCTAATGCCTGTCCAGACAACTGTGTTTCACTAAGGCCGCTGGAGAGAGCAAGGCTTTTAGCAGAGAACAGGAAGGCATAGAAGAAGGGCAGATGGGGAAGGGTTTATCCCTTTCAAGCTTTACGCTTCCATTAAAAATGTTGGCAGCCTTAAATAAATCTAAAAAAAAAAAAAATTCCAAAGGGAAAACCAAGAAAAGAGTAGTTTGTGTGATGCTATCAATGCTAACAGTTATAATTGCTAACAAATGATGCTTAAGACTGTTTGTAAAACTTAAGGTAATCAGGCATGTGTTAAATCCAATCTCCCCCATAAACGCTTGTGTGACAAATAGAAAGTTCTTGAGACATTAAAAATGGCCAAACCTGATACCAACAAGAGTTAAGTTTTACAAAAACTGAAAATCCATCACTGCACCTCTATGAGTAAAGCCTCTATTAACCCACAACGTTGTGTAATGGCCTACAAATTAGATTTACAACCATAATTTCAAATCAAAGTTAAGTGTGAGAGAATCCATTAATCTCCAATAATAACACAAGTGAAGCTTTCGGCTGTCTAATACTTAATTATCAAAGAACAGACTGATCAAAGATTAATGCTTTCTAACAAACAAAAAAAACCCTCTCAGACTATAAAGGTGGGAAAAGTCTTTACAGCTGTTGCCTTGATCTTGTTTAAATTGTGATAAAAAAAAACAACAACAACAAAAAAGGCTTTGTTGCTTGTGCAACAATTAACTTGTAAATATTTGTTGCCTTGTTCCAATTTCTCGCTTCCATTTCTTTGAAATACTTATAGTCAGACCACTGACGACTAAGTGTCACTAACAACAATATGAAAAAGCTCATTGCATCGACAAGCAGAGCTGCTTTCTGTAAAAATAAGTTCCCCTGAACACATCAGTCACAGATGCACACCCCAATCTCACCCTCCCACCAATGGTAAAAATAGCCTCTCTCGACCCCCCCCACCCATGTGTACAGTCATACTTTAACTATTCCCCACCACCACCAAGAAGGCACACAATAAGGACGTAAGGGGCCACATAGCTAGTGGTAACCATCTTTTCCATTTCGCTCTTCTTCCTCCACTCTAATTTCTTCCTCTATCCTCCTCCTATATTGTGTCACTCGACGTTTTAGCTCCCACTCTTCGCCGCTGCCTTATCGCGCCTCCTGCCAAATGCCACCTCTGTCCATCACACTGCTGCCTCACAGAGGACGTGAGAGCATGTGTTTTTGTTTGTGGGTGCTCGCACACGTTCAGAGCCAGGACAGGTCAGAGAGGAACGGAAACAGAGAGATGGATACGGGATGGCTGAAGCTTCGATGAAGTGAGAGCTGAGCCACAGATGAAGACACAGAGCAGGCTGCTTAATATTCTGATAGAAATGTTGTTGTTATCAAGAGTAAATAATCGCTCTTATTAATGCAGCAGGTACATAAACCTCTCAGAACTCCAAAACAGAGTAATATTTATAGTGTTAAACAACAGGCAGAACAAGCAAATTGCACTAGCTTAAACAAACATGTTTGTTGTGTGACATCTTCCCACACTCGCAGGCTTTAACGCCAGAAAGAAATACGGCAATATTAACACAGAAGGAAGGAAATCAAAGCTACTTTATGAGACATTTTTGGCTGCATTTATTTGTCATATCTAAACACAAACATGGGAACACTTTGAAGTCAGCCCAAAAATGAGGCTTTAACCTATAGCTCCTTACAAACGTTCATACTCCTTTAAATTTTCCACATTTTGTCCCAATGCAAAACTAAAAAAAAACAAATGTTTTCTATTGAGATAAGTGATTCACTAATAAATAGTTTTATGAAATGTTCTACAAAACAACTCAATCTAATTGGACGGAGAGCAGCTGTGATTACTGGTTCTCAAGTGTTATTGTAGATCCTTACGCTTATTCAGCCTTGGACAATGATTGGACCATTTGAATGCATAAATATGCTTCAATGCAAACTATTTATTTGAAGGTTTGGTAATTTTTTGTTTAGAGCCTTAACCTCAGTCTTAATTTCTAAGCCATAAAGATGTTTTTCATTTGGCATCAGATCAAGACACGTGGACAGTGTCTACCTCCAACTTTGAGCAGCTTCTGTGATCCCTGCATCCCCACAGCAAGATGCAGGAAAAGAGTTATTTTCCCTTCACCTGGTGGCTCATATCTGCATGTTTCCAAACATGCTTACACCAAAATAAAAACTAAAACAAACTGTATGGCTCACTCCTTAACAATGTTCCATAAAGATCAAGTTTACAAGTAAAAGTTTCACTGTTGACAGGTTCTCACACTTCAGAATCTCTGCGGCTCCTCCAGAGTTACTATAGGTAAATTAATTAATTCTGCAATTCATGATGCTCTTGCAGTTGCAACATACTATTTACATCGCAACTAAATAAAATAAATTCATATTGAAAATCTTGGGCTTTTCTTTAAACCCTATACTTAGTTTAATTTAAGATAATATTCAATCTCAAACCACTAAGAACTTCACAAAAGTGATACCCCTACTACGTAAGGGGGCAAATTATGGAAGTCACATCTATCAGATTTAAATCTTTAAAAAGAACATTTAACAGTTTTTGTGATCTATAGCCTACAATCGTTAAAAACTAGAATGTTTGAGGCTGTAAGGAAAACAATGTGGAAAACCTAAAAGGGCAGAGAAGCTTTAGCATGCTATTTACGACCTAAGAGCAAAGAAAATATGTTTGATATATTAACTTTAGTAGGGACTGCGAATTTTGAACTTTTAATAATCTTTCTCCAATGCGGTATCCCTTCAATTTTAAAATAGTTTCTTGTTGTCTTCCTTCGGGGGCATGGGGAACAAGGGATGAATGAGAGACACTGAAAATGTAAGAAAACAGGACAGGTGGACAGAGAAGAGGAGCCTTATTACCTGGAAGAAGCCTGGGGGCATGGGACCACCTGGCATGGCGTCGTTGGGGGGCATGTTGCCCATCACCGGGCTCGGTGCTGCCGCCGCGCTCTAAAAAACATAGAAATGGCAGTTAACCACCCGCTGCTCCAAAACGTTGAAGAACCTGCTATAAAACAGATTTACTTATATGACATCAATATTAAAGGCTTGTTATTCAATGGCATACGTATAGATTATATAGGATTTATAATACATAATGTTATCACTTCTGTTTGGTGCTGTCGCTTTTCTGAACAGTTGTTATTGCCAGGGCTGAAAGAGTTTGCTAAAAATTAAAACTGCGATTGTTTTTAGGCAATATTGCAGTCTTCCTTTGCGGCGACATCAAGATATAGATGTTTTATTTTGGGGTTTCGTTTTTTTTTTTGAAAGCTTGTTTGTCCAGAGTCAATTGTCAGAGAGTATCAGTTATAGGACTGTACTGCAACTTTTTGTGAAAAAATACTTACTTCTACTTGCATGTATGGATCTGCGTACTAGCTGCAAATTTCTGTACCTTTCTGTGCGGCAGCAAACCTGCCATAAGTACCTAAAGGGCTGCAGTGAGAAACTTTTTTTTTCTCTTTTTAAATGTTATGTGACCAAAATGGAATGCCTCTGCTATTTGAAAATTGCATTTTGTTAAATTGCAATTATATTGCAAATGCAATTAATTGCGTAACCCAGGTTATTGACCTAATAAATCAAAACAAATGATTCTGTATTACTGAGAATGAGGAATAAGGAACCTTCCAAACCACATCCATCCATGCATGGATGGATGGATGCATACAGGGATCTTTGATGATTGGATGAATGCACCATTTCATAAGATAACACACACAAAAAAATAGTTTTAAGAGACTAGTTCAATTCAAAATAGGACATCAAGTAAACAAACTGAAAATAAAAATGCTTATAAACATAAATGTATATAATTCAAAGTAATCCAGACCAGGAAAACACTTCAATCTAACTTAGTATTTTCGCAGACGTTGCAGAGCTGAGATAAAAGTACAAACAAACGAACAGCTCCTGCCAGCAAGTTAAACATGATATAACTGTGTTCTTAACAAGATGCATGTTCAGAGAGCTTACATAAGCAAGCTGGAAAAAAACAAAGATCAGTCCGGCACTCAGAAACATGAACAGGAAAATCACACAGACACACAAAGAGTTGCATCACAGCCTCATAAAGTGCAGCCCCTCAGTACAGAGCAGACGGTACTGTATGGCGGTACTGTATGAGTGGAAGACGACACAGTCGTCTAATGACTCGCATGTACAGACCCCCCCCCAATCTTCCTTTATCTGCTAGCAACATGCAGACCCCCCCCCTCCCCACATTATGCTAATTCTGCTTGTGAACATGAGCAGAGCACTCAGTCCCAGGGGAAGGAGCAGGGTCGCTGCCTTTTTACCTCTTCACCCCCCCTCCCCTCCATTGTACAGTTTTTACTGCACCCCCCACCCCAAAAGAACCTTCCTGGTGCCCCAAACGTTGTACTGTGCCTCCCCCTCACAACCTCTCCTCCTCCTCCGAAACCCCCCCCCCCAGTAGGGTGTCAGCAGCTTGCAGAAGCTGTTGCTATGGCGACAGGTCCTATCTGCACTCTGTCCCCCTGGCATCCCCCGCTCCAGGAGCGCAGAGAGAGAGAATAAGAAGATGCAGGAGAGAGTGAGAGTGAGATCCAGAGAGTGAGTTTGGAAATAGAGGAGTGAGAAAGAAAATGAGGCTGGGAGGAGAAACTAAAAGGTTCTTCTTTTTTTGGGGGGGGTGGGGAGAAAATTATTTAATTTTATTTTTTTTGTTTTATTTGTAGGTCTCCACTTATTGTCACTGTAACTAGTTGTTCTCCATATCCATTTTCATATTTAGCAACCTAAACCGAAAGCAAACTAAAAAGTGCGTGGAAGGAACGACTGCCGCCAGCGAAAATGGAGCGTAGATCTAGTATGCAGTCGGACTTTATTAAAACCAACTGGCCTGGGGAAATACAAAAGGATCCAGCAGAGTTTTTTTTTTTTTTTTTTTTTGTGGTAGAACATTCTCTAAACTGAAATTATTTTTGTTTCCATAGTCAAGACGTTGCTTGTTGGTCAAATCTTCCAAAAAGTATGCCATGACAAAGAAAGTTCAATCAACACTTTTGCAAAAAAAAAAAAAATTGAAAGCATAAGCAACCTAGCAAGGCACAGATATAAGGCGTCAATGCTAAACTGATATTTGATTCTTAAGTTGAATAACTTTATTTTTTTTATTTCATGCTGATGAAGAACCATGTAAAAAACATCCCATAAGGAGCTTTGATGTTTGATATAAAGCACAACCGGCAAGAATATATTCCTTTCATTTAAAAACAGCGAGAACTTCAACAAAACCCATGGGAGACATTTTCAAATGCCTGGAAATATTTACACTGTTTAAAACCATAAACTGTATTTTAATGACCTTACCCTACAGAGCAGCACGAATGCCTTGTCACAGCACTGAGTGGGCACATGTGAACAAAGGAGCTTTTTGATGAGAAGAATACAATATCTGCACTGAGGAAACAAGCTGCAACCGTTCATGGTAGCAAATCAGACACAGCTAACATGAAACCAACCGAACATGGCATCATGCTACAACTAAATGAATAGTTAAATGTGTGGACGCTTTACTAATATACAGCAGCTGTTTAGGGCCGAACACACACACCTGAGGCCTCCCTTAGCTTATGCTGCAACAAAATGGTTGCAGGAACACAACTAAGCTCCCCTAATCTCAGCGCTGAACAAAAAACTGTTGGGAGCAAGTCTGATCCACATTGTGATAAACTACAGGATGCTTTTCGAGAGCTCTATGAATGTTTTCATGGTATGATAAAACTAAACAATTTAAAACAGCAATGATATGTAATCTGATCATTATCAGTAGAGAATAATAAAGATGCTCTGATATTTAAAAATAGGGAATCAGTGTGAAATTAGCGAAAAATAATGTATCTAAAATCTCCAATATAAGCAGAGTGATAGAAATGCTCCGCTCCCGTTTAAAGTTGAAATAATCCCCTGGTTACTTAATAAATGGGTGACATGTTTTCATTCCTAATGTAGTTTATCATTGTGCTCTCTTTGAATAATATTAAATGAGCAAGCCTTTACTACTGTTCCACACTAAATATAAGAGTTAAAAGTACATATGATTCATGTTGACATCGTATAAGGTGAAAAACTGCAAGCTGACAACACCAAGAAAACAAAGGTGTTTAAAACTTTTTCATGCCAAGAGCCACAGTCATTTCTTTCCAGGAGTTTTTCCCAATCAGTTTATATTTATGTGTTAATATTTACAAGCTACATCACAGGCTGTCTCTAGATGTTCGCATTGGTGAACACTTGGCACTAGGACCTGTAGCTCGTCTACCACGTTTAGAATTGTTCCTAGTTGCACAATGTGGGTATTCAGTCTGCAAGGACGCCACGCGTTGGGACGCTGAGGCCAATTTGGCCCCCCGGCCCTCGCAGATGCGTCAAGCACAGACCAAGTTTCAGCCTCTCGACCTCTCACAATCAGGCTGGGCAAGGTTGGTGGTGGGCGGACCTCTTCTTAGAGGTTACTTATAACTTGGGTTAGGGTTTCCCCTGGTCCCTATTGCAAATAGGTAAAATAAAAACTAATCAATAATCATCAACTGACTGATAAGAAACTGAAACATTCTTCAGCCATACTCGTACAGTCCTAAATCATTTTTGAATTTGTTTGTTTTCCCATTACTTTACAAAATAAATTATCTGCAGGAAATGGCTAAACAAGTACCCCTTAAAAAATATCACCATCCAGCCTTCCTCCTCATTCTGATAATTTAGACACAGATATTAAAATGATAGTTGTGATATGATATATTGTGTAGCTGAAATACTTTATAATTTCTGACTGAAATGAGGTAAACACTCAGTTAGTGGAAATGATCTAAACCTTTATGGAGCCATGTGAATGAGTGAACGCCTCCATCTGATGAGTTTGTGAATTTACATTACAACCACAAGCGGACAAACAGGCAGACCGATGGACTTTTACACAAAGACGTGGAGGAAGTCTCAATATAAAACCGCTTTTCCTTCCTTTTATTTCTCCATATTTTTACAGACCAAGCACTTAAATAAAACCCCAAACTTTTCAGAGCTGTGTAGGAAACCTGGGACTTGTGAAGATAAACCGCCCTCTGCACCGCAGTGCAGCCCAAATATTTAGAATACAATGGAGGAATGAGAAAACATTTACTGGTATAGACCTTTTAAACGAGGCACTGCCTTGACTTTATTTGGCTCTCCAGCTGCTCTTCTTAACCTTTTATAGAACCGGTTAAGAACCGGCTCTGGTACCAGCGCTGCTTTAGCACCAGAACTCCTACTTCTGGTGGCAGAGAACTACAGCTCAGACATTAGTGGCGCTTAGTGTTGGCTCACTGTGAGGACCGTCATGTTGTGTTTGCTTTTCATCCTCTGTACAGATCCCAAAGGCTGATGAATAATCTATTAGAGAACAAAAGACTCAGGATCTGATTGGGTGGCACAGCGCAGTATGTAGATGGGTTATACAGAATAGCATTGATCCATACCTCTCCATTTCCCTCTTCCCCTCTCTCACCCGTAGGACCTACCGGACAGATCAATAGTGCTCAACACATTATTGACCTCCGCCTGATACCTTTCACAGGGATAAAGACGGAGACATAAACACTGGATGGCAAAAAGGGAGAGGCAGGAAGGGAAAGCGAGTGCATTCGTGTGTGTCTATACTTGTGTGTGCCTCTGCCTAGAGAGGTACTAATCTACATTCTGGTTCACACTGATATGTACCTCATCACTGTCTCCTTGACCTGCTGTCCTTAACGTACCCGCGTAGGGGTGGGGGGATGCTGAAGGAGCGAGGATGAGAGGTGGTCAGAAAAAAAAGCTGACTGTGGTGATCAGGCCGGTTCGCCCACCCCGGTAAAACGCCACGTGTCTCTCAAAAAGCAACAAGACACGACTTCAACTCTCACCGTCACGTCTGACAAACACAATCTCTGAAGGCCCAGCTG